CATAAACGTGAAAGTCCCTTCTGACACTAGATATGTACGTTGCTAGGTGTTTCAGCACTGAATTGTGTCTCCATGTGTATCGACCTTCGTCCAGGGATGTTTTGCAAGAAGACGCTATATGTTGTAGTGTTTGCACATTCAAGCAGAAATGACACAGATTATTTTGAGCTTTCTTCCACAAAACCATGTTTGTTAATGTAGGTAGGGTGTTATTTAAATATCTAGTTACGAAGTTGTATATGTTTTTAGGGAGTTTGTCAACTGCCGAGTGCCAATCTTTCGCTGTACCCTGGAAAGCATCTCTCCAAATCGACTTAATTATAAGACTCTGCGACGTTAGCTTGCTTTCAATATTAAAGATCTTATCTTTCCTAATTTCTTTGGCAACCTGTTTTGCGGTGGAGAAACCATCGTACTGCACATTACAGTTTGAGCTAGATGCGTAGAAAAGGTTTTGGGTGTCTAGACAACTCGAGTCTTTTAATTTATTTCGCAAAATCACTTGACATTCAGTGAATTTTGTTGATACATCAATGATGTCGAAACCGAATTTGGATTTCCCAAGAAGCAATATGTCAAGGGTGCCGTTTGGTGGTATCTCAAGCCATGTCCGAAATTTATTGTGGCACATTGTGTCTAAAGTTTGCTTTATCCATGTTCTATCAATGTCTGCAATAGTGAGATGCCAAGATATTTTCGGGAGCAGATATTTCATATATAACTCAAGCTTAAATTTTGAGTGTAGAGGGAGACGATCGATTTTTTCTAAGATGCTACTAGTCTCAGACAGCAAGAACTGTTTATGTTCTACGTTATCCATCGGGAAGTTGTAAAATCTACCGAGATAACAAAAGCTTTCGTTCCCCTTTACCGCTGTAATTAAGCCGTGGTTAACGTAAATTTTCGGAAAATACTGCTTGGATAATGAGTTCCTTTTGATAATTCCGAATGACTTGCATTTGTCGACTCTTAGCGTCATTTTTGCCCAATTACACCACATGGTGAATGCATTCAGTAATATTTGTGTCTCGTACTCCTCACCTGTTGTTATCACCGCGTCATCGGCAAATTGAAACCAATGTTTGGGGGTTAGAAACGGCTGCCCAGCATTAAATCCGAGTTGACAAAACTGATCCGTTTTAATGTATTGAATAAACGTATTCATTACCATGTTGAACAACAACGGGCTCAAATAATCTCCTTGTAGCACTCCTTTACTCACTTTAAGGAACGGGGTTAGATATTTTTCCGTAACCACTACGGTACGGAAGTCAGTATAGAGGTTTGCAATACAATTTTGAAAATGCTCGGGGATTTGATGATATTTTAGTACTGTTTGAATCAGCTTATGGTGGACTTCGCCGAATGCATTTCTTAAGTCAAGTAGCTATTGTTAGAGATCTTTGCTGTTTTTTCGCTCGTCTAATTAAGTATGCTAAATGGGCCGTATGTTCAAACGTGCCGGACATTCCCGGAGTAAATCCTTTTTGAATCCTATTTTCAATAATATAATTGTTTTTTGATAGAAACTCATACATGGCATTCCGTATTGTTGATGTAAAGATTTTGAGAGGCACTGATTGCAGGGTAATTGGTCTAAAGTTTTGAGGATCGTCAGTTGATTTTTTTTTGTGAATAAGAATTGATGCAGCTCTTCTCCAAGTGTCAGGAATTTGGCCCGATTTCCATACCATTTGAATGATTGTTGTCAAGTAAGATCTAAGGTATGCAGATTTTTTAAAGGGAATAATTGAGAGCTGATCACGCGGGCACGCAGAGCTACCTGTTTTCATTCTTTTGATGATAGCCGTAATTTTAGCATAAGTTGGAGGTGTAGAATTAAATTCGTGTACAGGTGCTGAAAGTCTCGGTAACCAATTTGGTAGGGAAAAAACATGAGATGGACATGCGTTCATCCAAATGTTTTTAAAGTAATTAGTGCAAGTTGCCAAATCGAACGTTGGTATCAGATAGTCAACGCTATCTAAATGCGATTTGGCATAAGCCCAGAAATTTTTCTTGATTTCCTCGTCGTGATTAATAGATTTAGCATTATCATGGCCTTTATTCCGAGTTAATTTCCTTAGTAATCTTGACACATACTGAATATTCTCTAGTCTACATCAACAGGTGACTGGCGTTTCAATGCTTTCAGTTCTCGTTTTAGCTCTTGTTTTGAGTAACTAGCATACTTAGTATGACATTCAGAGTTGGAATCCTTGCACTTATTCACCGTACCGAAATTTTCTACAAAGTAATCATATACCAAATTCGTCATTTTGTCAACACAATCGTTCACCGAACATTCGCTAACCTCGAATATAGGCAGCTCGGCTCTAAAATAAAGATCCGCCTCCTTCCATTCATGTTCAGTTTTTGGAAGTTTAACGCCCGGCTTTAAAATAGGCGTGCCATTAAATATATCTTCGTCAACATCACTTATTTGATCGTGTTCGTTTGTGATTTCTCCCTCATGTGGCAATAGCAAATCAGAGCACATACCTTTGATGAAGCGACATGATCTTTGATGACCCTTCAAGCCTCGCAAACCTTTACATTTCTTGCCGCAACAACATTTAACATAGTCAACGTTTGAAATACGACCTTGGTTTCTCAACGCAGCATCATCCATCTCAGCATTACTTTGAGTCAAATCGTGATTGTTTGTGACAAGTGTTGGGCCTTCGTTCCTTTCGTTCACATTCTCACGAAGCTAGCCGTTCTTTACAGCGCCATTGATGTCGGCCAAGAGACTTAAAATCCCGATTACAGTAGGAACAGACAACGAGCAAGAAGAACCAAAATATTAAAGTTTTCATGCTTTATCAGTGTAGTAAACGTACGAACGATCGACACATAGAAATAATCAAATAATAATAATATAATAATAATAATAATAATAATAATAATAATAATAATAATAATAATAATAATAATAATAATAATAATAATAATAATAATAATAATAATAATAATAATAATAATAATAGTTTTGTTTGTGGAAACACCGCGTAAATTTAGTACTGCAAAGCTTTCGATCCGTAAGCCCGGATCTTCATCAGTGCTAATAACAAAGAGTAAAGATATATACTTCCTCTGTGCTAATAATATGACTTGTTTAATTCACACGCTCTTTTTATATACAAAAGTGTCGTGATCTGTTGGCTTGCGTCATTTGAAATTTAATTAAACGGCACATCAACCACGTCATTTCAAACGTAATGAAGTGATTCCAATCATGGATAATAAAATAAATTTATTTTATTATCCATGTTCCAATTAACGCGCGCGCATCCAAGACAAGAGAAATTAATTTTGCACATTAAAGAGAGCTCGCCACGTACTATCTAGTGGCTTTCCCTCCTGATCTATAGTATTGTGCTTCTCGATTTCAACTGACTCTCTCATTTTGCAAAATGGTTGCTTCGTCCCATTTTATACGATGGTCGTAAGTGCAAGTATGTTTAGCCACAGCAGATTTATCTTGCTCGGCTTTCTCGCAATTCGTCTTGTGTTCCTTAAGTCGTAATGAGAGATTTCGACCAGTTTCGCCAATGTAAACCAGACCACATTCACAAGGAATGCGGTACACACCAGGTTTCTGAGATTCATTAACGTTGTCTTTATGTGTGGAAAGAGCTCGAAACAATTTGTTTTCGCTGGAATGGTATACCTTTATACCTGCTTCATTCCTCAAAATTCGTTCGATTTTGTGTGAAGCCGGACCAATGTATGGTAGACAAACAGACGACTGATATTCAATCTTCTGTTGTATATACTTTGTGGTGTTTTCATAGCATTATCTATGAAATGCCGTGGGTAACCATTCATTTTTAGAACATTTCTTAAATGTTCTAATTCATCGTCAATGTTACTTATGTTACTTACGTTCACAAATTGTTTTCGCTCGGTTGATGAGTGTCTTACACACAGAGTTTTTAATACTAGGATGATGAAATGAATTATAATGCAGATACCTGTCTGTGTGTTTTGGTTTCCTATAAACCTTATGTCCTAACGACCCATCATCATGTATAGTGAAAAGAACATCTAAGAAAGGTATAGTTTTATCATCCTTCTGTACTTCAAAAGTAAACTTGATCGATGGATGCAAACTATTAATGTGGTCTAGAAACTTTTGTAGATTATCTAGTCCATGAGACCAGCTACTCAATGTATCATCCACGTATCTGAACCAGAAACCAGGTTTCAACTTTGCAGTAGCTAAGGCCTTCTTTTCAAATTCCTCCATGAACAAATTAGCCATAACAGGCGACAATGGACTTCCCATTGGAGCGCCGTTTGTTTGTTCATAGAATTTCTCCCACCATTGAAAACATGTCGTGGTCAAACATAGCTTCAACAAATCATGAACATTCTCAGGAGAAAGATTAGTTCTTTGAGATAATGTAATATCTGAAAGAAGTCTTTCTTTCGCGATTTTACAAGCCTCTTCAACTGGAACATTAGTGAACAAGCTAACTACGTCAAAACTTACCAGAATGTCATTCTTACCCAATCTAATTTGTTCCATTTTTGTTACAAATTCTTTAGAATTTACTACATGATGTTCTGTTTTTCCAACAACTGGTTTCAATATCTCAGCGAGATATTTAGCCAGGGCATACGTTGGCGAACCTATGGACGCTACAACTGGTCTTAGTGGGACATTAGGTTTATGTATCTTAGGTATACCATAAAATTTTGGACAAACAGTAGCTGAAGGTCTCAAACAATTATGAAGTGTTTGACACAAAATACCTGCCTTTTTAAAACCAGATAGTTTGGAACATATTTTACGTTCAATGTTAGCTGTAGGGTCTCTTTTAAGCTCTTTATAAGTTGAAGTGTTTAAAAGAGCCAAGATTTTATTATCATACATTTAATAAATGTTCTAAAAATGAATGGTTACCCACGGCATTTCATAGATAATGCCATGAAAACACCACAAAGAATACAACAGAAGATTGAATATCATTCGTCTGTTTGTCTACCATAGATTAGTCCGGCTTCACACAAAATCGAAAGAATTTTGAGGAATGAAGCAGGTATAAAGGTATACCATTCCAGCAAAAACAAATTGTTTCGAGCTCTTTCCACACATAAAGACAATGTTAATGAATCTCAGAAACCTGGTGTGTACCGCATTCCTTGTGAATGTGGTCTGGTTTACATTGGCGAACTGGTCGAAATCTCTCAGTACGTCTTAAGGAACAGAAGACGAATTGCGAGAAAGCCGAGCAAGATAAATCTTCTGTGGCTAAACATACTTGGACTTATGACCAGTCGTATAAAATGGGACGAAGCAACCATTTTGGCAATTCATAGTCATAAGTTCTCTCGCAAAATGAGAGAGTCAATTGAAATCGAGAAGCACAATACTATAGATCAGGAGGGAAAGCCACTAGATAGTACGTGGCGTGCTCTCTTTAATGTGCAAAATTAATTTCTCTTGTCTTGGATGCGCGCGCGTTAATTGGAATCACTTCACTACGTTTGAAATGACGTGATTGATGTGCCGTTTAATTAAATTTCAAATGACGCAGCCAACAGATCACGACACTTTTGTATATAAAAAGAGCGTGTGAATTAAACAAGTCATATTATATCACAGATGAAGTATATACCAGATGTGTAACTTAATAGGACTTCGTGTCCTCAAATTTCCCTAGATGTACACGTCATGCTTACGCCATGACACTTGCTAGGAAGATGGCGTTTTGGAAAACATGAACTTTTGCATTTTATTGCGGCTTTCTTGGATCGAAATTTATGGATTAAACAATTAAGAGCATCATTTGTTGAATGTTTAAAGTTGTTAAAAGCAATTAAAGTTGTAGAAAAGGTGTTGCAAACATTTTTGAAGGCAATGACGTACTACCAAATGACGAATAATCACGTGAGCGACACTTGCTAGGAAGATGGCAACCATGGGACAACTTTTTTACTGAAGTTACACATCTGTCCTTACTTAATCTATGATATTAGCACTGACATAGATTAAGTAAGAACAGATGTGTAACTTCAGTAAAAAAGTTGTCCCGGCCACGGTCGCCATCTTCCTAGTAAGTGCATAGAGATTATAAATAACACTAGAGGAGGCATCGAGTTTAAAAATTGGGAACGCAGCTAATGGGGGGCAAATTCAAGTCCCGGATATAAAATCGTACGTGCTCTCATTGGCTGATTTGAAACTCGTCACCAATAGGAACACGAATACACATCCGGGACTTGAATTTGCCCCCCAATAGTCGCGTTCCCTTTTTTTACTGAATTAAGATTACAATGCCTCCTCTAGTGTTATTTGTAATCTCTATGAGCAAGTGTCGCTCGCGTGACAATTCGTTATTCGGTAATACGTCATTGCTTTCAAGAGAGCTTTCAACACCTTTTCCACAACTTTAATTGCTTTTAACAACTTTGAACATTGAACAAATTATGCTCTTGATTGTTTAATCCATAAATTTCGATCCAAAAAAGCCACAATAATATGCAAACGTTCGTGTTTTCCAGGACGCCATTTTGCTTAGTGATGGCCGATTACCGATTACTTGGTATCGATACCACCCGATACCAGGCCCAAACAGGAAGTAGTTGATACTGAACGGTATCGAAAAAGTGTTTCGATTACTTTTAAAATTAGACATTCATCATAATCCTGTAATTGTGTCATCGTTTTCATGGTTATTTCTAATAAAATTTATGTACTTTTTTGTATTTTGCTGCATTTATCAATTTAGTCAAACTTCCTTTATACTTTATTTGACATCCTATCCTCGCCGACAGAATAAATTATGAAAAAGGCGGGAAATAAAGTAATTATTGTTTTTGTTGTGTTAAAATGGCGGATCAAATCGTTACTGTTAAAAATATGTAACTTTCTGAAAATATATCGTTACTGTTACAGTAGAAGGCTACTTCTTTAACAGTTGCCTCTTTATTAAGTGACTTACATTTATTATTTTGAAAATTGGAGGAAGTAATCGTTTGGGTAATCGATACCTCGATACTTCAACCAAACAGTAATCGGTATCGTATCGAAAACGATATTGGTGGTATCGCCCATCACTAATTTTCCTAGCAAGTGTCATGGCGTGAGCATGACGTGTATATCTAGGGAAATTTGAGGACACGAATTCCTATTAAGTTACACATCTGGTATATACTTCATCTGTGGCACTGATGAAGATCCGGGCTTACGGATCGAAAGCTTTGCAGTAATAAATTGACGTGGTGTTTCCACAAACAAAACTATTATATATTTAATCGCCATCCAGACCCTCATGGTTATTCTCCTTCGTGTTAATCTAGGTAAACTCTTTGTCTCTCCCCTTTGATAAATCAGCGCCTGCAACGTCTATGTTGTTTCTAGAACAAGAAATACCCAGTTATTCGAGATAAATTACTATAAAATCAGTTTTAAATTAGGTAAAATTCAATAATTTTTACTGCAAGGGAATGTTTTCAAAAATAAGGAAATTTTGAACGGCTGGAAGGAAATTATGTTTTTTGAAAATGGAAGCACTGTTCGTGGTCACTCGTGTGTACTTTTAGACAAGATCATTTTCAAAGGCCATAAGGCAGCGTTTACACTGTACCGTTTTCGTAGCGTTCTCGTATTGTTCTTAATCCTCAAGGGAACGCAAGACAATAGTCTAGTTCTCTCGAACAATACGAGAACGCTACGAAAACGGTACAGTGTAAACGCTGCCTAAATCGCTATAATACTGGTGTTTAGTAATATATTTGACATCCGTGAGTACAATTTCTTACGCTGAATCGAACGGTGGTATTTTTATCCTTATTGCGCCATTAGGCATTACAAATACAAGGACTGCATGACAAACGTAGTGCGAGTAACATAGTTGCCAAGTCCCACGCATTGCGCGTGGGACCCACGCATTTGAATGTCACCTCACGCCTGTCCCACGCATACTGATAATCCCACGCATTTTGTGATCTTTGCTCTATTTCTTACGCATTTTCAAAAGTATCTTTCAAATCATGATCATTTCAAAATTATAACATAAAAAACTTTAACAATAAACACGATAAACGCCACAAAATTCAGGACAATAACATGATTCACGAGAAATCGCTGACAAATTGCGGATTCAAACCTTATTAAAATTCATTTTAATGAGAATTTCATGATGCTTTGCCGCTATACACACATGTATAAGAATGAGGCAAGTGGCCGCCGCAACAAATATGATCAGAATTGCCGCCATTATAATACATACTGTACGCCTGACTATGGTATGTGGAGTTTCGAGAAAATCCCACACCTAACTTTTTCGAAAACTTGTTGGTTGAACTTGTTTCGTCCGAGCAAAAGGGCGTGGCCGACGTTGTTCCCGACGAACGAACGTTTCAGTCGCTAAGTAATATTCATGTCCCAAAGTTGTTGGCGAGCAATGGGGAGCGGGGTTTAAAAAAATTTCCGGAATTAGTATTTTTCACTAACTATCGAAATAATTTACCGTAATTTGTCAAATTTTTCAGTAATATTTTTGTAAATTTATCAAAAAAATTTCCTGCTACATTACTTTTCAATCCGAGACACTCGAATATTTTCAAAATTTGCCCGATGAAATTGTATGGATATACCCGAGGAGATTGGTGGGGGAGGGAGGGGGGTGTTACACCTCTGGATATAATTATATATTGAATAATTATAACTAATGATGTCACTACTACGGAAATTACGCTCGCAATTTTTAAATTTATCATCAGGATAACTATATTTACTCAGTGTGTTATTAATAATTTATAAGGTAACAACAAAAAAAATGAGTACCGAAATGGTACACAATGTTTACAGTTTACTTTTCTGAGAGCATACATTATCACACTCACGGCTATATATGGCATGATTAGTTTATGAAAAATTTCCCAGCTACTGATTATGGATGAAACACTCTTTTTTATCCTGTGTGATTTATTAATAAATATAATATACCATACGAGTCCATCAATATTGTTAAAAATCGAGGTGAAGCCGACGATATTGAGCAAACTTTGAGGTGTCAATTGGATATCCTGATAAAATACGTTTTGGCTATTTAAGGAGAAAATCGTAGCAAAAGTTGGCTTAATTTAATGTAATTTTTTCCCTTTTTCCAAAACACCGTCTTTCACGGCGGTGATTCTCTTTGATTCGGTCGGTTTATGAAATAATGAGTTTGAGGTGTAAAGTGTAACAACACCTTGACCTCTGTACTCGTTCTTTTTCAGTTTGAAAGCAGAATGGCGTGCAGTAAAGAATTGCGTGTCCCAAAAGAATGGAACAAATACCACCCAGATATCGCGAACGAGTCCGTAGATCCAGAATTATTCTCCGAAGATGAACTCTTCTCGTGGATGGAAGATCTTGATTTGAGTCACAACAAATCCGAAGTAGCAAAATATGTCCAGTCTGGAAAACCTTACCACTTGATGCGTCACCAAGTTGTACTTCTTCCCAAAAGTGCATTATCTAGACGACTCTTTAAACTCTGGACAATGACGGTAGTTCCACTATTTATGAGTGACGATGTCTTGGAAGCATTAAGTGAAGTTGAGATGCACAAAATCTGCGCCGGTATTCAATTATTGGATGATCAGATACGTCAACAATTTCCCCGATTTCCAACCATCGCTGAAATGAAGCAGTCTTTGCTCCTGCAGAAGGTTGACGAGAAGTTCATTCCCCACATTATATATCTTCTAGATTTTGCAAACAACGTAGCAAAATCTATTATCGACCAAGGCAATTTTTCAAAAGAAGATGTGAATTATTATTGGAGGCGATTAGTTGTCACGATTACGCTCTACTTTCAAGGTGTGGAGGTGGAGGTTAAGCACAACGTTTGCTCGTATTTCGAAAATGTCTGGACGCGTGTTCTTGCATCTGGAGTCATGGTATACTCACCTTTCCAAGAAATCGTGGCAGGGTCTGTGATAAAAAACACTGAACACTTGTCTCTCTTAAACGAGTTATATTTCCTTGCGACAGTATTTGTCATGGTCACCAATGATATATATTCCTACGGCAGAGAAGCGAGATTAGATGTCAGCAAGCAGCCGTGTAGTATGGTCAAAACGATTGCTGGCTGCAAAGAGGCTTCTGCGGAGTCCGATGCTGTTATAAAATGTGTTGAAATTCTCAACGCGGTAGTAAAAACCATGTACCAGAAGATTGAGAAGGCCAAGCAGGATATCCCAGCAAACCAAGACGTGTGCAAATTGTTGGACAAGATTGGCATTGCTACAGTAGGTTGGTATTATTGGCACATTTATTGTCCTCGTTACGATGACTCTCGTTGGCGTCTCTCTATAGTTGGCGTTGAAAACGATGAGTTGGAAGAATGGCGAAAAGGCAATGACGAAGAACGACTACAAGAAGTATTACCTTTATTGGTCAACTGTAGCTCAAAAGCAAAGAAAGTCAGTGATGCAATTATAAGTGGTGTAGTTAATATGCATGCAAATCTTTTGCTGGAATGACTGCCAAACAATTACTTTATTTCAAGATAAAGATATATTATAGAAAAAAATTTCATTCATGGTTTAAATTCAATAATTGACAAATAACGAATAGTAAATTACGATAACATGCTTTCCCGTAAAAGGAGGGACACTTAATTAAATAAATAAGTAAAACACGCCATCACAGGCGTGTGTTACAATGTGGAATTCAGTCGACCACGCTTTGTGGTACCTATTCGATTTATCAGTTCAACAATAATTAGAGAAGTTGGTCGTATAAGAAATAATATAATAGTTATCAATGCAAACTTGCATTAAGCAAAATGGAATCAACGAATCTTACCTGAAATTCAATAAATAATGATTAGCTTAGTTCATGGGACAATAATTTGGTTAAATTGTTGGTTAAATGAATTTGTGTAGTACCATACTTTTGAATCTTATCAATATAATAAAATTTTTGTTTAAATGATGAAATGTTGTAAAATTAATGCACATGTCTAACCACTATACTCCACGTAGTTTTAGTCCAGTTATTAACTAAAGATCAGAAAATAAGAGATTGTATGGATTTTGATGGGGTTAGCACTAATGATCATTCGTGAATACGTATCAGTTTGCTTTTTTCCGGTCAAACATCATGGTCTTTTAGATAAAAATTTTCACAATTTCATTCGTACATTTTGTTACAAATAAATATTATATATACCCGTTGGCATGATATAGAGTAGGTGTTCGGGGTGTTGAGAAGGTGAGTAATTGGGTAGTTGTCGAGGGTCATAGGTCGAGTGTCGATCGTCATAGTTTTAGATTCAAAAGGATCGATCGCTGAGGTCAAAAGTCGAGGTTCGAAAGTGGAAATACTATTTCTTTATTATGGTGGCTTGGTATAATTTTCAAAAAGTTTGTATATTATGTTCGTTGCTATGTCAACACAAGCGTCCGAAACTCACTCTAATATTTATAGCCTATTTTAATTTTTTTCTTTGCGCTATTTTCCTTATAATTTAAACCAACAAAAGCAAAAAATAAAAATACCTGTAATGTCAATGCATTTTTTTTTCTAAACAAATTTTTTTTGGCATTCCAGAATTTTTGTGTTATAATGAAAGTCTTTTGCGGTGCAATACATGCAGTAGGCAAAAGTACAACATAATTATGTCGCCAGACAAAAAAGTGAGATATAGCGCATTCTTTTTCAAAAATTGCTATTTTTATTAACGTCAGCACTGTACAACACGCACAATGGCTCGAGATGACGTGGCGAGTTGCCACATCATTCAATTCAGACAATTCAATTCAATTTATTTTTGCCATAAACAAAAAAAAGAAAAATTTACAAAATTTATAACTAATGAGTAATGGCAGGCAAGAAAACCCAAGAGAAACCATGCCGCATTCACGCATGGTTTTAAGAGCAAATGGACATATTTAGCTCGGACAACCCCGAATATTGACATTTTTCTCGCACCACTTGAAAAAGTTTTAAGATGCAAGTTCCTACCAGCTATCACAGGGCAAAATATATTCGATGACAACCTTCGCAATCTTATGGGACTACCAGCTCGCCTTGGAGGCCTGGGCATCACTGATCCTTCCCAAAAAAGCTCCACTTTTTATGAAAATTCTAAATCGATTACAGCCCCAATCGTCAATATCATTATAGATCAATCGAGAGTAAGTCCTCCTGAGATTAAAAAGGCTCAAATCAATGAGAAAAATCATACCCGCAACCTACGAAGACGACATGAGAAAGCTGAAGCAAACCTGATTGCAGAAAGATTACCTCCAAATCTACAGAGAGCGATAGAAGTTTCCACTGAGAAAGGAGCTTCCACATGGCTTACCACGCTTCCGTTGTCTGACTATGGGTTCAACCTACACAAAGGCGCTTTTCGAGATGCCCTT